TATTGTAATTAATTGGTTTTATTATGATGTAATCATAAGGATCGGCCAACTATATCCGATGTTTGCGATATATATCCGGTTTTAACTTGTGAGGAGATTTAGTCTCCCCACACGCTAAGACAGATAGCCGGTGGCAAAGGGGGGGGCCAAGGAGACGGAAAAAAGGGGTCAACCACCGGTCATCAACCCGGGCAGCCCAAGGGAACGTCGCCAGGATCAGTACGGGGGGTTGGGGGGAAAGGTGAAAGCCAGTTACCGTGGGTTCCGCCGAAGGGCTACCCGTGGGAGGACGGAATCTACGTGGAACGTAACGGTGGCAAGTGAGAGGGTAAACGGCGCCACCCGGGGGAAGAAGGAATCGACGTGGAACGTAACGGGTCCCGGGGCAACGTTGGGAAAGTAGTCCAGTGGGGGAATCAGCACGATGCGCAGGCATGCCTTAGAAAGTGTGGCTGGGTGAGCGGCAAGGAGCAGAGGGAGGGGGGGGGTTGCGACGAAGAGTGCAACGGGCCCTGGAAGCCCACCGGTGCACCACGTACCAGTAGCAGAGATCCGTGGCCGGGGTAGACGAGGGGCCACGGACAGCGACCCGCCAACGGGAAAGTGGCGTGATTCTGGAAGCAGGATTAACGGAAGGAGCAGAATCCAGGAGGATTAACGGGCGCTCCAGTCAGTATAAAAGGAGGCCCATTGGAGCGGCTCGAGACGAGTCTTTTTAGGAAGCTTGTAGCGTTGAGTTGGAGGACCGCCTGTGGAGAGTCCGTCATTCAAGTGTTAGAGCGTTTCTAAAAAGGATTCGGTTTTGTTTGAGTTGAAGGACCGCCTTTGGAGAGTCCGACAGCAAAGCGCAAGGAGAGCGAATAAGACAATAAGGAAAGGATCCCTTGCTGGACCTTCCTCTGGAAACCCAGGGTCGTGTAGTCGAGTTGATTCATTCCCGAACACGGCAGGTAGCCTTGCAAGGAAGTGAGGAAAGGATAAGTCTGGCGTATGCCTTACCGACTCCTGAAATCATAACCAACAGGCGTGGTCCTGCGAGACAAGGATAGACCGACTCGAGATCGCACGCCCGGTGTACACGAGACGTAAAGGACGAGACACAAGACAGAACCAGGGTGGGGAGACCGAGTTGAGCCACTCCCGAACACGGCAGGTAGCCTTGCAAGGAAGTGAGGAAAGGATTAGTCTGGCGTATGCCTTACCGACTCCTGTAATCATAACCAACAGGCGTGGTCCTGCGAAACAAGGAGGCCTACTTAGGATCACACGCCCGGTAGTCACGAGACGTACAGAACAAGGGAGACAAGGATCCGTTGCTGGACGGTTTCCTCTACAAGCCCGAGGCGTCAGAGTCGAGTTGAGCCATTCCCGAACACGGCAGGTAGCCTTGCAAGGAAGTGAAGAAAGGATAAGTCTGGCGTAGCCTTACCGACTCCTGGAATCGCAACCAACAGGCGTGGTCCTGCGAAACACGGATCGGCCGACTCAAGAACTCGCGTCCAAGTCACAGACCAAGTGAGAACACCCTGGTAACAGCCCCGCCACCACAAACTCGGGTCCGCCGGCGCGTATGCACGGTGTCCCGGTGTAGCGGGAGCGCGACAATACGATCAGGCACACGGCGGCTTCCAAGCCTGGCACCGGAGCGTATGCACGGTGTCCCGGTGTAGCGAAGGCGGCAATCAGCAAACCAACTCCCAAACCTGGCACCGGAGCGTATGCACGGTGTCCCGGTGTAGCGGAGGCGACCGACCGCAGCCAACCGTCAGATCAGTCGCAGTCGACCCAAGGGGGTGTTTTCTCAAGGCCAAAGGGCAGAGGGTAGCGGAATCGCTGGCAGCGCGGCGACAGGAGTACCATCGGCGACGGAGTAACGGCGGCGACAGAGTAACGGCAGCGTATCCCGGACAACCCGCATAGAACGCCGACGACGGAGCCAACAGGAACGGAAGGAGCAACGAGTAAAAGAGAAAGAAAGCCTTTTGTAGTGTAAAGAGGTCTCAAAATAAAGAGTGTGGAAACTTCAAGCTATTTGTATTACTTTCTGGGCTTGGGCAATCACGTCGAATCTATAAATTCGGTGGAACGGATCCGCGAAACTCTGTGAGCTAGCCGCGGCATTGTGGCGAGCGGCAGCAGAAAAGACAGTTCGTTACAAACTGCAAGGGTATATCAACTTCGGTTCCGCCCGAAGTTAGCTTTGCTTTCTTGTTTTTAATATTTTAGCATATCGGCTATTCCGGCGGATGGTCAACCAGGACCGAAAAAATAAATTTCCATATTCCTCGATTATTTTTTTGTATTTTCATAAATAAACATCCAAATTTTCATAATCTATTGATTGATTGATTGATTGATAGCATATCTCAGCTTTTTTTTTTTTAAAAAAAAAGCCCGAAAAGTCAAAAAATGTATCAAAAAAAGTTTTTACCTTATTTTTATACCCTTGCAGAGGGTATAATTTTATAATTTTGTCCAAAAGTGTGCAACGCAGTGAAGGAGACATCTCCGACCCTTTAAAGTATATATATTTTTGATCAGGATCACCTCCTGAGTTGATATGAGCATGTCCGTCTGTCCGTTTTTACGCGAATTTCATTAGGATCGGCCGACTATATCCTTTAGGTGCCATATAACTGAACGATCGGAAATGGTATTTGGTAAAAATATCAAGTTACGTATTTTTGAAGATAGAAGCTTGGGACCTTTTTTTTAGATTTTTTATTTTAATTAATTGGTTTTATTATGATGAAATCATAAGAATCGGCCAACTATATCCGATGTTTGCGACATATATCCGGTTTTAACTGCAAGGGTATATCAATTTCGGCTCTGCCCGAAGTTAGCTTTCCTTTCTTGTTAATTTTAAAGACATTTTTATGTTTATTTATTTCTCAAAGAAAACATATGATGTGTTTGCTCTTTCTGTACTAAATCTCTTAATAACAATCTAATAAGACGAGAAAAATTCAAAGAGAACTACCTCTTAATTTGTACTTTGATTCTTATCTATGTAATTGTATTACATATTGTAATTGCTATATTACATATCTATTGTAATTGCTTCGCATCAAATAGAAATTTCCATTAGACTCATTAGTTGACCTGCGAGAGTTCTGTTGCAGGCCAATCCAGTGCCAGGGGAAAACATTGAGCGTTCATAATCAGGCACATCCAAACGCAGCAAAGATCCACCCACACGTCCAAAACGTAAATAAACATCTTCCACCGGCGAAAAGAAAGCACCAGCGAGTGGCCCAGCGAAAAGAGATAAGATGAGCAGCGATGCGCTGCCAACGTTTCGATTACCATCGTCTTGTTGTTGCTGGACATCCACAAGTGAAGATAAGAAATAAACAACTCCCCTTGAAAAAAGTTGTTGTTGTTGAAGAATATCGATCAGCAAACAGCAAGCAAATTATTGGAGGAATTGAAGACAGCGTCAACCGTTACCATTAACGCCCACTCCGTTTGTTGTTGGTAGCGCAGCAGAGAGTAACCGGGGTTACAAACTGAAGCTTGAGAAGATTAAGAAGTAACGGCTCCAGCGGCGCCGCTTACTGGGGGTTTGTGAAGATTGCGATTGTGGTAAAGGTAGAATCGCTGGGAGGTCAATACCTTAGCAGGCTCTCTATGGACAAACCGGCAGACTTTTACCGACATAGGTCAAAAATCATCATTGAAGCCTGTAGGGAAATGTTGCTCCGGAACTCCTAATTTAAAATTGACGAAATTGAGGGCGTTGACGTCAGCAATTTTTTTGTTCAGCCTAGCACAGGCTTAATCACTTGGCTCCACATTCAGTTTATCTGCGACAAACTTGCACAGTGCATCCGGTTGGGTAGACGTCGCGAGATTACCAACATGAAGGTGGGAAGCACTTGAAGCTGAGCGCAACTGGGTGCTTGTCCCACAATGCGCCTATTAGGGTTTTTTGCTTCTTCCTCGGGACAGCCCCCTTAGATGCCGTTGGGGCCTGGCCCAGTGTAGCCTTTTTGCTCCCAGTGCTGGTAGGCATAGAAGGGGGAGCAACAACATGCATCCCAGCCGAAGAGGCGCGTCCAGCGGGTCCAGCCGCTCCATTTACCAGGGCATGGTCCTTTTTGACATTAAAGCTTTCGAAAAGGGATTCCAGATCCAGAACTTTATGATTTAGCTCATCTATTTTGGAATGCGAAACATTTCCAATGACGCAGCTATCACATTGCCACATTAAGTTCGGAATGTTAATAAGTAGTTTTATAGGGCAAATCCACACAAGCGGTGTGGTAGGCACGCCGGCAGATCGACGCGCACCGAGCGGCCTCACACCCACGAAGTTGGTGTAACTTCTGCACTGCACTCGATGTAAACGAGAGGCGACATGAGCGAAAAAGTAAATGTCCGAACTCAAAGAAAGCTAGATGCAGACTGATAATTGTGAGCAACAAAGGCAACGAAGACTCGCAGCATCCAGTATTCAATATGGAAGAGCAACATGCCAACGATCAATCGACTGATGAGAACTTGCGTGGAGAAGGTTTCAATTCTCCGACATATATATAGATAAGGCATTTTAGCTGGGTTTTTAGAAATAAAATTAAACTTCGAGACTTCTCTTTAGGTCTAAATGTATTTTGTAGTTTGTTCAATTCTGAACCCATATCAATTAGTTTCATTCTGCAATTTATCTATTGCATGTTTTCTAGGTGAAATTTCTAGAAGAGCCTTGGCATCATGCTATACGATGGAAGCACGCTTCTCACTTATTCCACCTTTTTAAGCCACACCTGAGAGCTCTAGCAGTTATTATTACTTTGTGGCTGCAAAGAATTTGGCGGGTCTCTGTTCTACATAGATTTGTGATGGCTATATCTTAGGGCCAGTGTCGCTACCTTTACTTTGTCAAAAACTTTTTCAATAAACGTCGTCTTTGCTTAATTATTTTTCGTTCTAGATTTTTTGTTTTAAAATCATATTTATAAACGTACCTCTAATTTTTTAACATTTTTTTTTTTTAGCCGTTGTCAACAAGCGACTCAATACCAACAATATCTGCGCAAGTTATACTGGATACCTCCATTTCCAAATCAAGTGGTGTAACTCACAAGCTCGATTCTAGCATTTCGACGACTTCAAGAATCGTTGGCGTGACGTCAGCCAGTCCTTGGAATCCATTTAGACGAAGTGCAAGCTTAGCAAAAAAGTTCTAAGTTTTCTGTTTATTTTTAATAATAATAAAGTAAAAATTCCAACATTAGACCCCTGTTAGACATAACGTTATATATCCTGTAAAAGTCTGAGTGGAACTGTTAATTATATATTTTTTGGCTTATATTCGATTAAATTTTTAACTCACACTAAGATCGATTACATTGTGCGGATAAGAATTAAATTTTGTAACTTCTAATGGTACTGCCTTCTGAATAAAATCAGCATAAAACTAGTAGGTTGTGTGTCCAAGATGTCTTCACTGAGAAGCAGACTCAAAGTTGAATGTTGGTTTTATACAGTAAAATGTTAATTACACAGTGCGACAAAAAAAAAATTGGAGGAACTTTTGAAGAGACCTAGTAGGAATTGTTCATTAGGTCGAGTATAGTATAAAACCATGTTTAAAATTTTTCAAACACCCTCAATCTTGACTTATTTGGAAAAAACGGTTTTTCGGGACTTTTTTGCTCTTAAAAATTCCTAAACGCATAATTTTAACCCTATTTTTAAATTTTTTTCGTTTTTCAATAGTTAAATGTTGGAGCTTTTGAAAAAAAATAGATCTTTAATTTATTTCAACAAAAAGGATAAAATTTTTACGCAGGAAACTGACATTTTTGATTTTTTGTCGTGTTTTTCGGACTTTGACGCCATTTTTTCGATACAACTTCCAAGAAATGGTATCATTTTTTGACACATATCAATATTGTCTCGTTAATTCTGAATAAAACAAGACCAATACCATTCATAATATCAAATTATGAAAATTGGTGAAATTATAACGATTTTCCCAAAACAAGTCAGTGCAATTTTACTAGCGCTCCGGAGTAAAAGTGTGTAACAGAAAGGAATAATGGAAATGGAACGGCACACCATTATTCCGGAACGCTAGCAAGATTGGACTGACTTTTTTTGGGAAAATCGTTATAACTTTTTGATTATTTAGAGTTTTTAATGTCAGCTTAAGTGCTAAATGAGCTGTTCTGCCTTCATCCAGTTGCTCCATAAAGTTTCTGCAGAAGATGCAATAGCCAATGCAATGCCATTTTTGATCGTATCTGGGCAAGAAGTAACGAAATAAGAAATGTTTTGCCAATTCCACCTGGTGCATGAAAAAAAAATCCTTTTCCTCTTTTCCAAATCCTCCTTTTCCTGTCGCATCTGCGAGCATGCGGTCGTAAATAATTTTTTTTTTCGTCATTAAGAAGTAGAATATTGCGACTAACAATGCCTGTCATTTCTACGTACTGTAGTTCACGATTCATGTCTGTTTTGAGTAAAAACGATGTTATTTGGAAGTATGAATTAAATGTGCGAATTCACTTCAAGGAACAAGGTATAAACTGTATCTGTACCGAGAAGTACTGTATAGTAAACCGCGGAATGGTTCAGGCAGTGTTTCAATTTCGAGTAGTTGTACTTTTACTGATGAGCACCAAATCCCAACTGGCTCATTTTTAAATTTGAGCGCATGACAATACGGGATTTTTTTTTCCAAAGTACCAATAATTACTTTGGAATGAGCAGAATATTTAATAATAAGGTTTTTACTGGAATGCTAGTCGAAGAAATTGCCCTAATGTAAATGCTCGATTACATTTGTTGTCGTTGTTGGTCAATTCTTCTTCAATTAACTCTGAATCTGCACGTTTCTGTGCGTTGCAGTTGTCTTCGTTGATTACGTTCATCTCGTGCCTCTTTCGATTGTGATTCACTTAACTGCGCCGTGCTCATACGCGCATTTTTATTATCTTCTTCGATTGCTTCTCCTGATCTTCGTGGATTCGTTACGCTCACAGCCTACTTATTGTTATTCATTACTATAAGTGCAGCCACTTCGGAGGAGTATAATTTGATTAATTATTAAATCCCGCTCTAAACAATTAGGGAGATAAAAAATAGACGGTGTCCGATTCTCAGCCCTAAAAGCCTTACACAAAATTTCACGAAGATCGGTTAAGCCATTTCGGAGGAGTAGAACGACTATGACTGGACACGCTGTCGAACGGGATAGAAAGTATCCTATGTCCGTCTCCTGGCTCTAAGCTGCCTCCTTACCCATTTTCACCTAAATCTGTGCCGTTCTTGAGTTATAAGTGGTGTAACAAACACGAATTTCTTTTATACACCATAAGTCGGAGAGGAGGCAATTCTAAGGTGTGAACATAGGTCGTGCTGGGATATACCAGTTCTAGTATGATGGGGACGCAGTTTGCGAACTGAGGCCGTGTGTGGCTTCATTGTGTTGCTGGATCTGGTCTCTCTTTTTTCTCGCCACTTCTATACGTTGCGAGCTTTAGTGTGGTGTTTTGTTGAGGACTGATAAAAGAGAAACAATTACACAGTGCGACAGTGATTTGGAACTTTTGAAAAGACCTAGTAGGAATTGTTCATTAGGTCGAGTATAATAAAAACCGTGTTTGAAATTTTTCTAACACGCTCAAAATCTTGATTTATTTAGAAAAAACGGTTTTTCGGGACTTTTTTGCTCCTAAAAATTCTTAAGCGAGTAATTTTAAACCAATTTTAATTTTAACAAGTTTTAATTTTAACAAGTCAGTCCAATTTTGCTAGAGTTCCGGAGTAATAGTGTGCCCTTCCATTTCGCTTATTCCTTTCTTTTACACACTTTTTCTCCGGAGCGGTAGTAAAATCGCACTGACTTGTTTTGGGAAAAACGTTATAACTTCAACAATTTTCATAATTTGTTATGACCACTTCGGGTCCGACGGTCTGCCTATCGGCATGGGTCTGGCTCAGGCTAGCTCATCCAGGGCCGTGGCTTCCCTGACCCTTCCCATCCGACCGTTAACAATAAATTAATCCTAAAAACACAAAGGTCTATCGGACGTTACTCAACACTGAAACTCCCACAACATTCAAATTTAAGACTCCTAATACTAACACACGTAACATTTATGCTTACCCTACTGAATCACAGATCTTTTAATGCTCCTGTTGACTTGGAGTTTCGTTGGCCTTCCCTCCCATCCTTAGCGGAACGCTGGCCTTTTCTCGCGTCCGCCCCTAATTCATACACCCGATCCCCCCTCTACTTTCCCATTATCCCTTCCTCATGCCCCCTCCCGTATCGCTCTACTCAATATTCATTTCTTTTCTCAATTATTTCTTTATTCTTAAGCTAATATTTAACAATTGATATCCGTTCTTGAGCTTTTGTTTTGCTGTCCAGCGTTTTTTCTTTTTCGAATTTTATCCCACCACGCGGGGAGTAAGGTTTTAAATTTTCCCTACCTAGGAGAGCTCTCTTGGGATTTGGGACAACCACACATTATAGGGAAATGATATCTGCCAGCTTCCACAGCCGCTACCGGAACTCACAAATTGTATTGGCAATAAATAAAAATCAAATAGGACTTATAATTAGGTACAAAGCTTACAAGATATAAATAAAAAAAAATGTAACAAAAAAAAAAAATTAATTAACACACACATACACAATAAAATAAATACTAATATATATAAAAAAAATACAAAAAAAATAATAATCGGGGCGTCGATGGCGGGATTTCCCTTTTTTTGCCGCGCATGCGCAGTTGATGGCCCGCAGACATAAAAACGTGTGGAGGAACCCAAGAAAACGGAAAATGCCGGCTTGCCTGGCACTAGGTTTACACTCCCCGGAATCGGCAGTGCGAAGAAAAATTTAAACCACAAAATTCGCCAGGCCCAATTTTTTTTCTTTTTTTAGGCCTGGCTTCCTTGTCAGGATAAAGGGGTCTGGTCGGTCTGGAAAGAAGCAATCCATTAGCTATGGCTCTTCTTCCTGGACCGACCTCTTACCTATATTTTCTGCCGATCCTGCGTCTCTCTCTTACTTCTGGATTCTTTCCTTTTATTTTTTGAAAATTAGGCTTTGCGTCTTTAGTTTCACATTTTTAACTTTTTATATATTTAGGTGACTTTGTCGCCTGCACAGCTCGACACTTGCATTTCTTCTGTTTCCCAGTTCTCTTGGGCCTACCATGCCTGAATAGGTGGCATCACTAGCCGACTTATTTATCGGCCACAACAAATTTTTTAAAGAAATTGATCTCGTTTTATTCAGAAATAACGAGACAATATTGATATGTATCAAAAATGATGTCATTTCTTAGAAATTGTACCGAAAAATGGCGTCAAAGTTTGAAAAACACGACAAAAATTCAAAAATGTCAGTTTCTTGCGTAAAATGTGTATCTTTTTTGTTGAAATAAATTAAAGATCTATTTTTTTCAAAAGCTACAACATTTAACTATTAAAAAACGTCTAAAACTTTAAAATCGATTTAAAATTACGCGCTTAGGAATTTTTAGAAGCAAAAAAGTCCCGAAAAACCGTTTTTTCTAAATAAATCAAGATTTTGAGGGTGTTAGAAAATTTTCAAACACGGGTTTATACTATACTCAACCTAATGAACAATTCCTACTAGGTCTCTTCAAAAAATCCCTCAATTTTTCTTTTTTTGTCGCACTGTGTAATTTATTTATTTATTTCGCCAAACTAATAAATAATACAAAAATACTAATAAAAACTTAATATGGCTAGGCTGCAAGAATTAAAGAGCCCGCTCAATTAGCTCATTTAAAAGGTAGTTGGCCCTGTGACACTTGATCCGAAAGGGGGCAAAGGTACGAAGATCCCTTTGAGGAACATTAAAATTGATGAGTCCCAATAAAAAAGGACAAACAATCTGGTATGAAGGAACAGGATCCTAAAACCTTAGAGGCAGAAGAGCAAATTTTAAAAAATTTTTCTGGAGTCGCTCAATTCTGTTGGAACTAACTTTACAATCCGGATTCCAATGATTGAGGCATATTCCATCCTCGACCGAATAAATGCAGCGTAGACGCTGAGGCTCGAGTACGGACTTTTGAATTGGTTCACGTGCCTCTTAACAAAGCCCAGCATAGCAAACGCTTTAGGCAGAATATAGTCTAAGTGACCAGAAAATTTAAATTTTCTGTCGAATAAGACACCAAGGTCTAACACCTCCTCTTTAGCTGCCAAATTATAGTTACTGATGGAATAACCCGTGCAGATTTCAAGAGATCGCCTACTGTAACGGGTAAACATACACTTAGATAAGTTTAATGGAAGAAGTTTACGGGAGCACCATGAGTAAACTCTGGATATATCCTCCTGTAACAAGTAACTGTCACTAATGCAGCTAATGGCTTTATAGATTTTAAGGTCCGCATACATTAAGCATGACGAAAGCATGACGAGATGTCA